ATCCTCTGTTGTGTCTTGCAGTCACTCTTCAAAACCTTACAAGATCTACTCAACGAGATTAGCAAGTAGAATCATTACGTGCTGATACATCATCACTCGAGCTTTTGTTTTAGCATTGTTTAACTCTTTCTCTTCGTAATTGTTTACCACATTCTGGAGGAATCAACGCTGGTACCGTCAGTTAGGAGATGTACCGGGGAAGGGAAGCGTGGTCGAGAGGCTAAGTGAGCCTGAACTTGGCTTGTCTTGGCTACCTAGCAGGGGGCTCGAGGCTTGACACCCGACTCGGGCAGAGTTGCGTTTACTGAGCGCCTAAAGGCAGCATGAAAACCAACTCCTAGATACCCCCTCCCCCCCCCCCCCCCCCACTGGTCCACAAATGAGATTGGACCAAAGCGCTCTGAGCATGCTATAAGCATGAAAGTAACGCTATATAAAAGCTATAATAATAAACAAAAAAAAGAGTAGAAGAGGCAGACAGAGTGAGGTGAGGATACCATAAAAGATTGGACGGGCCTATCATTGAAAGAGAATCTAATCAAGGAATTGAGAACTACGTCGACAGATCATATGTGGTCTCCAAACGGTCCAACAGACTAGGTCACCAAGGCATGAGGGATACCTATCCCTAGAAGGTGAAACTTCGGAATCTCTTTAAATCCAGAATGAGTAACAAGTAATCTTCTATAATAACTACCAGTATCTACATTCTAAATGAAAATGTGTAGCGAAGCCAAGAAATGTGTACATAACAATTAGATAAAGTATCAAAGTTTTGATCATGGTTAGTCGTTTCTAATATGACCATTCTGTAAAAATTAGACATCTGCACTTTGAATGGCTAAGCCATGAAAAGAGGCCTGTCCTGAAATTTTGTTTGAATTTTTATTGTTTTTTTTTATTACAAAGCTTAAATTAACTCTGTCAGTCTGTCTGTCTGGACAAAAGTTTGTGCACGTTATTTCTCCAACACCTGATCTCGGATAAAACTGATAATGTGCCAATTATTTCTTTTACCTGACAACACGAGAATCAATTTTTAAAAATTAACCAATTAGTTAATTAACTGTTGGTCATTAATTACTTTGTTTTGGTATCTCAAACAAGGGAAAGAAATATTACTTGACTGAAGTGGTGGTATAAGTTGAATTTATCCCTTTTATAGAGTCTGAGACTTATTACAAATTTAATTACATTACTGATCCAAACTAATTGATATACTTAATAAAAGCTTTGTTTGTTTTTTTTGTTTTTTTAAAGTATTTTTTTTATTTTGTTTCTTATTAAGTTATTTAACTAAAAAAAAACAACATGCAACGTATTTTTGTTATTTTACCGTCAGGTCCAGTCAATGTCCTGCTGTCCTGGTCACCTTTTGTAGCACTGAGTCGCTTGACCTACATGGCCTACCTCATTCACCCCACTGTCATGTATATTTACTTCGGTAACCAGGAAACCCTGTACACTCTGAATGACACGAACATTGTAAGTAGACAGATTTATTGATACAAGGTATTTCTCCCCAATACCCTCTATTACCTTGGGCTCAGACTGGGTGGAACCTGGAAACTGGTCGGATATTTTGAAAACGATTCTAACGAATTTCATAGAAATTTGAAAACTTATGTATATATTTTGAAAAATAATTACAAGCTAATTGACCACACACAGTGTTTTTTTTTTCCATGTATACCGTAATCATAGTAAAACTTCCAGTAGACTATTTGAACTATTTTATTTTATTTTATTTATCATATATTTTTTTCTCTCTCCCTGTCTTGTGTAATGATACTTATTGGTGTATTGCTAATTGTATTTTTTTCCCTAAAGTAATAGCTCTCCCTTTCCCCATCCTTATGTCTCCTGGGCAAACACTTTCCCTAGTTTCTGGTCCAAGGATGCTTGACAGGTAGTCTGGGATGCGCCACAGGCTATGGTCAGGATGGTACTTGGTCCAAACCCTGCCATCCTTCATAGACTACAGTTAGAACGTAATAGTTTCATTTCTGATCTCTGAAATTGTTTCTGAAGTCTGAAATTGTTTCTGAAGTCTGAAATTATTTCTGAAATCTGAAATAATTTCTGAAGTCTGATATTGGTAAAGTCAAACTTTTTTTTTCCCCCGAATGTTTGTTTCTGTTATTACAAATGACGTCCTTGATTTGATGTAAAAGTGTTGTTTTTTAAACTTTCTTTCAGGTGATTTCCTATCTTGGCATCCTGCTTTTTACCTACTTAGCTTCTTTCGTGCTGATGCTTGCCATCGAGTCTCCAATGATCGGACTTGAAAAGGCGCTACTCCCAAAGAAAAGACACTAGCCTCTACAATAACCTGGAGTTTTATATATACACGCACTGCCTACACGCGGCCAAATCCATGACAAGGCTACACACTGGTTCTAAACTCAGAATCTTTTTAATACTAAGAGCACTGACAAACTATAGACTTAAGCTGGCTATTCCAAGACGACTAGCCACTACCTTTGCCCCCGGGCATTGAACGCCTCTCCCCAAGGATCGTGAATCACGCATTATGATATCTCATTACATTGTCTTCATCCAAAATTGTGTCTGCCTGAGTTTTTTTTTTTTTTATATATACACATTTTAGTTATTATGATATTATAATAAATGCAACATATCATGATTTATGAAGCTGATATTTTTATTTAACATTTCTTTGGGAAATACCAATAAAATCATACTTTATATTACTTGAAATATTACAAAGGATTTTGAGGCTAGAAAGACATTTAACATAGTTTTCAAACACGTGTTAATTTTGTTAATAGCGTTTTGGATAAAAGGAAAGCGGATTTTTCAAATCGCGAATAGGAATGACAATTTTGTCTACTTTTCGGGAGATTTTTATGTGTTTTTAGGAGGATTTAATTATATATTTCCAGGACTTTTTCGTATATTTTGCAATATCAGGAAATTTTCTTGGGGTACTGGAAAATCATGAGGCCGCGAAAAAAAACCTGTTATTATATATAAGCTACAATGTTTTAATTTAATAATTTACACCTAGAATTAGCGCGGGCTTATGAAAGTGCGGGGCCCATTGAGGCCGCATAGGTTGCAGTGGCCTAAGGCGGCCCTAATAATTTAATTCTATGTCAGTGACGGCTTTAGAGGCTGAATTCCTCTCTTTTCAAGATCCTGGACTAAAAGATTTTACAAAATAAAACCTCTGCGGTTGTACGCCTGTGTCTCCTTACAGGTCACGAGTACTCACGAGCATGTGGTTTTCCAGACCTCTCGAGACTTCTAGTCTGTAAAATGTTGTACATGTTCCTTCAGAGTTTGAACATAATTTACTTGCTAGTTCAAACCTCCTGCAGGATGACTGGGCATGGCAGCGGGCAGGGTATGAACTCAGGACCATCGAGAAGTCGGAACACGACCGTGCAGTCATATCACACGACAAGGGAGCCATCCCGCACCAGGCTGGGACAGAATGGTTCTCGTCCATAGTCATAAATAAATATAGACTGGCCGATAAAAGAGTTTTATGAAACGAAAATTTGTGACTTGCAATTTTGTGTACTTTATTATATGTCTATGATTATACAGCATTTATGAGCAGTATAGTTTTGTTTAATCTCTAAGACTGAAGATCATGCAACTTTTTTAGAATTCGAAAATCCGACAACAATAGATATACTATGATATACATGTTTTCAAGTTACATGACGTTATTTCTTTTTTCCAGTTTATATTTATTTAGGTCTATGTTCTCGTCCTACTCTTCGCAGCGAGGAGAACCAAAGTTATGCGTGAACCGTGCAAGGTATCAACCAACTGGACAATGAACTGTCATGCATTATGCTTGTTCAAGGCAAACCTGGGCAGGCTTCCACCAGGAGAGGAGAGGGGGGTGCCTTTTGTGCTTCCAGTCTTCTTCCAAGTCAAGACCTGAGTCTTACCTGAGCTCAAATTGAGTTTAAAAATTTCATTATCTGTATCCAAAAACTTCATAAAAGCAGCCATTTTATGCTTTCAAAAACAACAGCAGCCTGCTTGTTAGTTTAGCTTTATTATTAACTGGGTAAGTGAAATATTGCGCTCATCCTAAGCGAAAACAAGTGCCCTATTATTATAAGTGTAGTACCATTGCTATTTATGATATAGACCTGAAATATTGACAAAATCTTAACAAATGGATAGTAATATGCCTTATAGTAGGTCTAATGCCTGCATGTTGTTTTTCTTGTTTTCGCCCACTCACCACACAGCAACTCAACGAAGAAATTCTTGTCAAACAATACATGACTCATTGAAGTATTAACAAACGGACACACTAACAAATTATGCCATCAAGTTCAACAACTCTCTGAGTCCAGTCAGTCTCTAGTTCATGTTTTCCCTTGTAGGTCACTAAGTTCAGACAATATTTGTCATCAAGGCTTTTAATAGATATGGTCTAAACAAGTTGGGTGGCTGAGTTGTTAAGGTCTACGCTTCCAAACCTATGGTCTTGGGTTCAAATCTCGGTGAAGACTATGATATTGAATTTCGTAATATCTAGGGCACCTCTGAGTCCATCCAACTCTAAAGGGTACCTGACTTTAGTTGGGGTAAGTAAAGTCGGTTGGTCGTTGTGCAGGCCACATGACCCCTTTGGCCATAGGAACAGATGTCCTTAACATCATCTGCTCTATAGATCGCAAGTATCTGAAAAAGGAAATTTTCTTTACTTAAACAAACAAGTCACTAAGTGCCGAAAATATTTTTTGTCAACATTATTATAGACATTGTCTAAAGAAGTGAATATAGCCCTAATGAATCCTCATACTTATATGTTATTTTTACAATGCTCATATTAAACTCATTCTTCAACTCTGAAGTAATATCCAAAACATGTCATAGATTTAATGTCCTAGGAGTAGTTACACTCAAGGTAAATTACACTATACTGCCATGATTTTTAATTTTTTACAATAATCACAACATTCTCTCCCCTTTGACTTCAAAATACAAAATGAAACAATAACTAAATTGAATCCATAGTGTTTTATTAATTTAAAATGTAGGCATGCAGCAAAAAACATTGTCAGCTTTCACTGTACTATTATTATGAATCAATTTTGTACCAGGAAACATTTGATCACAGAAATAAAAATGTTAAAATTTCCACCTGAAAAGTAGCTCCACCTCTGCCATCAAATTTTCAAAAGTAAGTAATTAAAAAAAAAAAGTTAGTATTTTTAAAAGCTATCATTTTTTATGTAATTTTCCAAACTATGTACAATAGTCTTTGATTTTCAAAGTTTGTTTTAAAACATACATACAGTACTGTGCTGTGGAGGGCAATTAGTTGTCTTCAAAACAATCCCTAATTAATCCAAATATAAAATACCAGTCACTCTTTTAGAAAAGCTGCATTTCACAACATAAGCAAAATACAAAGCCCAAAAAAAAAAAAAGGCAGCAGTCTTCGGAATTAAAAACAATTTGCAAAACAAATCAAATGCACATCATAAGGAATAACAAATACCAATAGCTAAACATTGTATACAACAAAGGTTTAATGGTTAATATCAGCAAAGAAATGATCCTCAAAGTTTTGGTGGAGTTACACTGAGAGAAGGAAAAAATTGTATTTTGGAAAGTTGTACCAACTAACAATAAGTGCCAGCAATGTTGATAGAAAATAAGGTGCTTAGAGAACAATGTGCAATGCAAACTTTGGTGTTCATGCTTTTAGCAAGAGATTGAAATGAAGGTCTGCAAAGATGTATAAAGGACCAGAGGAAGAAGCATCAACACAAAATGGCTGGCAAGTTTCAGGTCATTATCACTGCATAGAGCCTGCCAGATTTAGTGAGTATTATTTGTACACACAAAGTGTACATTGTGTACAGAGCTGACACGCTTATGAGATTTCCAAAATAAAATTACAGACATAGTTGAAACTTTCAAAAAAAAAATCATTTTTAAAAGGTCACTTTGACAACAATCCCCACATACAAAATCAACACTACAGAATATGTTGTGCCTCTACATACTTTGTACACAGGGAAACAACAAAATTCTTGAGATGAACAGAATTGGCCATGATGACCGAAATATTTTTATGGCTGAAGATTTTTCAAAGCCGATTAATGAGAGTGTCGTCTTGTCAACACAATGACTAATTCTGTTACACGGCTGAGATGAACTAACCTTTAAGATTTAGTAAAATCAGAGAATTACCTTCTGACACCATTTCTCAATTAAACAATTTTTCTTCACAAAAATATGTGAAAAGTGGAAAAAATTTTAAATAGAACTAAATAAGCAACACAGCATTAAATATTAATATCGTTTTTCATTGTTTTATATTAAGCATATCTTTAGCATTATTTAGTTCGACAACCTTAAAAAAAAAAAAATCACAACTTTTCTTCCTCTACTGGCTGGCCTGAAGGGGACAACAAAAAATCACAACACATTTCGTTTCCCACCTCATTCCAGTTTTAAATTTTGTAACCCCCAATGTCAAAGAATTATCCCCACACCTCCATATCTTAAAGCCTTCCCTTTATAGAAATGAATTGACAAAACACACAAGAACAAATTGAGTATGGCATGCTTGGGTCAACAAGTAGCTTGAGCAGAATCACTGGCATAAATACTACAGGCCAATATGAACAGGTACAGTAACATAAACATACAGTTAAATGATATACACATCACCAGTCTTTAGTCGTTGACTTAAGTACACATTTAATACCAACCCATTTTTTGAGCTGATATTTTGATACAATTCCCCCCCCCCCCACCCCCATTTTTTGTCTTTAGGATAAAATGAAATTAAAAAATTTTTTTTTTATTTTGTCAAGAAGTCTGAAAACAAAACTTTTGAGATTCAAACAAGGTCCAAATATATGCTGGAGTACAGAGCCTCAACTTGAGAGTACAGAGCCTCATGAAGAGATTGCAGAGCCTCAACTTGAGAGTACAGAGCCTCAACTTGAGAGTACAGAGCCTCAACTTGAGAGTACAGAGCCTCAACTTGAGAGTACAGAGCCTCATGAAGAGATTGCAGAGCCTTAACTTGAGAGTACAGAGCCTCATGAAGAGATTGCAGAGCGTCAACTTGAGAGTACAGAGCCTCATGAAGAGATTGCAGAGCCTCATGAAGAGAGTACAGAGCCTCAACTTGAGAGTACAGAGCCTCAACTTGAGAGTACAGAGCCTCAACTTGAGAGTACAGAGCCTCAACTTGAGAGTACAGAGCGTCAACTTGAGAGTACAGAGCCTCAACTTGAGAGTACAGAGCCTCAACTTAAGAGTACAGAGCCTCAACTTGAGAGTACAGAGCCTCAACTTGAGAGTACAGAGCCTCAACTTGAGAGTACAGAGCCTCAACTTGAGAGTACAGAGCCTCAACTTGAGAGTAAAGAGCCTCAACTTGAGAGTACAGAGCCTCAACTTGAGAGTACAGAGCCTCATGAAGAGATTGCAGAGCCTCAACTTGAGAGTACAGAGCCTCATGAAGAGAGTACAGAGCCTCATGAAGAGATTGCAGAGCCTCAACTTGAGAGTACAGAGCCTCAACTTGAGAGTACAGAGCCTCATGAAGAGATTGCAGAGCCTCAACTTGAGAGTACAGAGCCTCATGAAGAGAGTACAGAGCCTCATGAAGAGATTGCAGAGCCTCAACTTGAGAGTACAGAGCCTCAACTTGAGAGTACAGAGCCTCATGAAGAGATTGCAGAGCCTCAACTTGAGAGTACAGAGCCTCATGAAGAGAGTACAGAGCCTCAACTTGAGAGTACAGAGCCTCAACTTGAGAGTACAGAGCCTCAACTTGAGAGTACAGAGCCTCATGAAGAGATTACAGAGCCTCAACTTGAGATTACAGAGCCTCAACTTGAGAGTACAGAGCCTCAACTTGAGAGTACAGAGCCTCAACTTGAGAGTACAGAGCCTCAACTTGAGAGTACAGAGCCTCATGAAGAGATTGCAGAGCCTCAACTTGAGAGTACAGAGCCTCATGAAGAGAGTACAGAGCCTCAACTTGAGAGTACAGAGCCTCATGAAGAGATTGCAGAGCCTCAACTTGAGAGTACAGAGCCTCAACTTGAGAGTACAGAGCCTCATGAAGAGATTGCAGAGCCTCATGAAGAGATTGCAGAGCCTCAACTTGAGAGTACAGAGCCTCATGAAGAGATTGCAGAGCCTCAACTTGAAATTACAGAGCCTCATGAAGAGATTACAGAGCCTCATGAAGAAATTACAGAGCATCTAGAAGAGATTACAGAGCCTCAACTTGAGATTACAGAGCTTCATGAAGAGATTACAGAGCCTCATGAAGAAATTACAGAGCATCAAGAAGAGATTACAGAGCCTCATGAAGAGATTACAGAGCCTCATGAAGAGATTACAGAGCCTCATGAAGAGATTACAGAGCATCAAGAAAAAATTACAGAGCATCAAGAGAATCAAGAAAAAATTTGAGTTTCGAGAAGAAAATGAACAGATATGTTTCAAAAAAAGGAATGACAGCAGTATTGGTGAACAATGTACATGTTATTTTTTTTTTAGTGTACAATTTGTCGAAATAAAAAAGCAAAGGGAGAACAAGTTGAAACTATGTGAATTATTTAATAAATTTGTTAAGAAGAGTTTTTTTTAAAAGAATGTACTCATAAAAAATGTGGAGTAAGGAAGTACAATGTGTACATATTGGTGCCATAGGTAACATCAACTTCAGTTTGACGTTTGACTTGAATCATTGAAATGCATTAGAGGTAAGAATAACTTGGATGAAACAGTTTAGATTGATGTAAACTCTTTACAAATAAACATCTCCATCTATTGATGTGAGCACGTCCAGTACCCCACCAACGAAGTTGAGACTTCCAGTGGCTAATATTTGAATGTGGGTGGCACCTTGAAGCGAGGTGGGCACTGGATGCGAGACTGCGCACTGGTCTAAGACCTGGACGGTGCTATCCCTTCCCTGACCGGCCCAACGAAGAGCCTCGATGATACAGGGGAAGATCAACGAAGGATTGCTGTTTAAGGAAGAGGTCAGCTCAGAATTCAGCTTTTCATTTTTGTCCTGTTTGTCTGAGTGGCAGAGAAGGTTGGCATTCAAGATCAGACTGGGCTCGATGACATAGCTCAGCATGTCTCCCATAGGAAGCAAGTCACGGTTTGGAGCTATTCCCTCACCGCCCTCAGCATCTTCGCTACTACCTATTGACATCAGGTCACTCCTGTCAGACTCTGTAGTAGAGGCAGAGATGACAGAGGATTTTTCACTGCTGTCCCCATCGCTACTGTTTAACCTTTTGTCTTGCACATTGCTTTTCAGTAAGTCTTCAACAGGCCACCCAGCTTTCAGCAGCTTTAAATTATTCTTCTCTCTCTGAGTGTTGGCCATAAGTTTATCCCAAGCTAGTTTGTTTCGCTCTACCGTCTCGCTCTGAACTTTGGGGTCAAGTTTTTTCAACTGAAGATCTGAAAATAGCAAGAAGAAATGATATTTGAAGCCAGTTGATTCATCATAAACATCTATTCTAGCTAACCAAAATGTATTGATTATTTATAACTTACAATGGCCAAAGAATGGGGCATAGCTTCATATTTTTTGTATAGCAAAAAAAAATAAATATCTAGACAAATAAATGATTTTTGGTAACTATGAAACATCAATAAAACCTTTTTTTTAAAAGCAGCTCTTGTATACTAAGCAATGCAGTCCATGGGCAGGTTTCTCTATATTTTTTAACATGGGCAAACATGTAAGTCAAATTAAATTTTAATAGCAATTTTCATTTTTGATGGTTGAATGTGTACATAAATGTGTACTTGAAGCAGCAGAAATGAACATTTATATATTATTTGTATTACATCATTTAAAAAAATGACATTATGAACACAACTTTAGCTATGACTATTGTCCAAAAAAAAAAAAAATTATTTCCTTTCATATATACATATCTTCCATAGATTAAGATTCTCTGTATATGCTAAGTGTTACTATCATGAGAGAATATAATAATGAATACACAGAACTGCAAATTGGAAGGTTAATAAACATATTTAATTTTGATATGATAAATATTAATAGTATTGATGTATAAATATCTTTTTCTCTAACTCTTTCAACACCACTCCACCCCCACTCGCTGTGCAGGCAACACTATGCCTATGTCTTTTTTTTTTTTTTTTTTTGGGTGTATTTGTATGGAAGAAAACAAATAACACTTTGCAATTGTATGTTAATAACAAAAGGATTCACTTTCAAAAGACCAAAAGAAGCAGTTGCCCTATTTTAATCAAGAAATACAGTGAAATCAGATTTTCAGTAGCTTTCTGGTTTTCTGAGATCTACTAAAGATAGACAACCAGACTACACAAAACTCATAGCAGCTTAAAGGGGATGGGTTGGGGCGGGGGGGGGGGGGGGGGGGGGGGGGGGGGGTTGCAACAACAAATACAAACAGTAAAATGAGTGGGCAAAAAATATTGACAAATCTGTCACAACACTTAGCAAGTGTTATAAGCGGACAATAAATGTGTAATGTGCACTAAAAGATGAACACGCAGTCAAATGGACAATTTATCTCACCTGGTCTACATTGTGACTCTATTATTGAAACAACAAAAGGACAGAAGACAGCAGCATCAAATTCACAATCCTGAGAGAAAAAATAACAAAAAAAAAAAAAAAAGGCTAAATTAAGAGTAAAATAGATATATTGTTCAGAATGTGAATGAGTGATTTCATGTTATTTTTTACAATTGACTGCACAAAAGTCTGTGTTTAACTTGTAAGAACATAGATAAATATAACAGGATATAACAGATATATTGCATTTAGCAAAATAACAAAACTAATGCACAGCATACTGTTTGTTTTCATTTTTTTTTTGTCTTTGATAGTAATTACTGATTGCATCACAGCTATTTAGGGTCCAAGATAAATCAAAACATGCTGCTTTTTTTAAAAATGTATTTTTCTTCTCTAGTCAGTTTCTTTTTGTCTGATATGGAATAATTAGAGGCATTCAAAAAGAAATGGTTGGACAGATTGAATAGCATGTGAAATGTGGGTAGGTAGGAGTGCAGTGTGTGTCTGTCCCAATTATGGGCAAGTACTTAACATAGCTCAGGATGTGCTTCTTTAGGCCCACTGGTTGAACCACTCCTCAAGTACTGCTTAACAGTGCCATAAGATATTTTGGCCATGGTTTTAAAGGTGTGTGAAGTTTTCTCAATGCTACAAGATTGTCCATGTCCATTTCAACTTTCTGTCTGGTGTGGACAGAATAGATGACTTACTTACTATTCGCCAGCCTGCTGGGTTGGACACCTACCCAATATGGAGAATGATTGCATGCCAAAAGCAATCTTTTTTTTTTTGTGAGCTTAAAGGGAGAATGGGGTGAAAGAGGTGCCACATTGAAGCAGTGTAAGGATCAAATCATTTTGCCCTAACTGGCAAAGAGGAAAGCACCTGGCCGCAGATGGCCTCTGGAAGAGACAGCAGGAGAACGCTCACGAAGGTTGTGGGATACACATTTGAGATTTGACTACAGTGTCTTATATACAGAAAAATTACTCAAATATCTTTCTAAACACAAAAAAGATTTATAATTTCACATTGAGAAGTTTTCTTAAGCCAATGGCCATCTGGTCAATAAATCAACATTACAATAGAGCACCTGTTGTCAAGCTGTCTTTTTGGTAAAGAGGAAAATTTGCCTTTACTGATTTATTGGATCGCTGTTTTCTAAATGTAGACTCTTATCTGGTTTTTTATG